TAAGTGTGAATGGTAGAAATAACTGTATAAAGAGAAACTTGTTCATCATTTAGATTGTTAACTAGAAATCTGAAAAAATCATTGAAAATTTTTTATTTGATATATTTTTTGACTACAGACAATAAATTTAGGGAAGAGTATTATGGTGTAAGGAATAAGAAGTGAAATTGATATACTGATTCTGATTGTATCATTAATTCCACCCATACAGGATTATCATTTCATAGATTCTCATAATTGGCATAATAATATACAATTTTTTTTTCTCTCTTTTTTTTTTTACAAGCAAAGTGGTAATAGTCATAACATGAGAAGCACTTGAGTATTGGTGTGATATAGCAGTCTCCAGCCAAAGTAAAATTCAAGATAAAACAGTACTTGTAGATTATTCACAAGGCACGAAAAGCTTCAGAATAAACTGCTCGACAAATGTGTCTTCCTTTGATGGTGGATTTGTAGACAACTGAGGTGATTAGAGGTTGGAAATGCTAAATAAGCTGACTCTCAGTTGATGTGTATAAAAGCTGTTGACCATCTTGTTTACATAGAGGTCAACTGTGATGGACAGCACTTTTAATTTCCCAATGTTTTCAACCAAGCAGAGACACGGTTTTTTGCTTTTCACATGCTTTTATTGCTTACATGGATATTTTAAAGCAGTGCACTTTGTACTAGCATAACGGTTTAGTAGTTGTTTATAATGTTTTCATGAGGGTAAATGACTTTTCTTTTGCATTCAAATTGTTATGCCTCTTGTCTGAAAAGTTAATCTACGGTTTTATTTTGTGAGGCCTAAGGCTCTAGGAATTGGGTGGTGGTGGTGGTGTGTTGATTAATACTGTATCCTTAACAGAACACCGAAGAATACCATCCTTATGTAGTGATTGACAATGGCCTCACATTTATAGGGTCTACAAGGGTGATAATCGTTACTAATTAGTTTTATATTAGTGGTTGTTAAGGCTAGTCTTTCATAATATGTCATTGGTTGATGTTTGCTAATGTGTAGCCAGTTTTTAAGCATTTTTATAGTGTTATCCTGATAGAAAGGAACAGAAAGTTTTTAGCAATACATATTTTATAATGATATAAATGGTTGATTCATTGGCTAAGATGAAAGTTTTATAGCATCTCCATTGTCATTTAGTCTAATATTCTCAATTCAAATAACTTTTAAAGTCTTCATGCTCTATTTGGAAACTTAACTTTATCTAAATACGTATACTATTTAACCTTCTTCATCTTGTAGGCACAAATTTCCTCTTGTCATTTATTAGGGCTTTGATATTTATATACACAGAAAACATGGGCCAATTTAGACAAAGTATAAATATATTTTTATTTTTAGATTGCTTTGCATAAACTAACTGCACATCAGTAACAGTTAAAAAAGAATGACCTATAGTGTTTCTTTAAAGAAGGGGTAAATTTACTTTTTGAAATGACAATTTAAGATATGATATCCAGATGAACTGTGTTAACTGTCACTTTGAAGAAGATTGTCACCTAATAGTTTTAATAGTTTTTAAGCAACAAAAATACTGCAATAAATTGTTATATGTCACTTCCAAAGATTTTTATACAGAAGTAACATCATGCAGCTGTTCCTACTTTTTCTGTAAACCCAATATTAACAAATATTTGCTTGCTCTGTCCTTCATTACCAAGGTCTAGGGAAATTTTGCATGCTGGAGTATGCATGATTAAAAGATTAAAGCAAAATCAAATGGGAAATATATTGATAATGGTCATAGTAACATCCTCGCAATGAGGGGCACTTTGGCTGTTGTTTCTTGTTTTTAAATCTGTTGTGTATTCAGAAGATACAGTTATGAAAGTATTTTGATTTTACCAAGAACTAGATCCAGGCCAGGATATGTATGTTAAATAAAGAATTCTTTTTGGCCTGATTTCTCAAATACACCAATGCCAGGTTTTCTGTGTATATACTAGTAGAAAGAGAAAGTTTCACATTTAACTAGTTCTTTCTCATACAGTTAACCATGTTCCTGCCACTGACATCATAGAAAATGTGAAACTTCAGTATCTTTCTTGGCTATTTCACCTTCTCCATTCAGATCAGGAATCCTAGATATAAGACTGTGCAGGAGGCAATGCAACTTTAGCAAGTCACTATTTTGCAGTTGTCATATCATTATCCAGTTTAAAAAGTGAAAATATCTGAAAAATTCACCTCATATTAGTATGAAAAGTACAGTGAACTTTTTTGCAATGTGTTAGAATTTTGCAATCTTCAGAGGTGTAAAAATCATTAGCATTTTTAACTTATGTACACCTCTGTGATTAGGTAATTTAAGAAGATTAGGAAAAGATAATTTTTTAAGGTAATACAAAGCAGACAAGACTGAAATCTTTTCTATTTTATAGACACTGTTATCATTGCTTTGTAATCCATTATCAATGTTGAGTCATTTTATAAATATATTTTACTTCGTTAACAGAAAAGAACACAGAAAATAGATAAGTGTCTTCTACATTTGTACATAGATCAGTGAGGAAGAGACATAGATAGAATGTCAGGAAGTGTGATGTGTGTTTTCACCATAATAAAACTTCGACAGTAATGGGGTCTTAATGACAGTGTCTCGCATAAGTGTTGGTCCAATCCACAGGTTGCACGTAATGTCTTCTTGATAGTGATGATGAACAATGGAGAGTCCACAGTAATTTCTCATTTCTCACAGGAGTACATAGTTTTGTACAAAATCCATATGTATGCTACTATACTAAGGTGAAAGAAAATTCAAAATTATCTAGCAAATTTTGTCATAAATGCCATAAAGATATAAACATTTTCTTTGGATGAGATTGATTTTGTGGAACAGAGAATATACAAAAAAAGAGTAACATAATGTATAAATTCCATGTTGTTGAGTAGAAAGATAAATACAGATTTATGAAGACCTTGTGCACATCGTGGTAACAATGAATTATTATGTATAATGAAATGAATGTAGAATAATTTGAGAATTTATTTCTGCCATAGTTTAAAAATGTACTATTTTTAAATTCCTAGATTGTGATGATAAAGAAGAGAGAGTAGGTGCAGTTTTATAACTTTTTATTGCAAGTACAAAATTATTACATAAACATGGACACTAGGATGAAAAAATAAAGCAGGTAAAGATAAACAAACAGCTTAACATACCAGAATCAGTATTATAGAAGGAACATGGTTTGTTACTCTATCTGCATTTATATTTTAATGCAGGTATTAATCATTGGAATAAATCTCTCTCTCTCTCTCTCTCTCTCTCTCTCTCTCTCTCTCTCTCTCTCTCTCTCTCTCTCTCTCTCTCTCTCTCTCTCTCTCTCTCTCTCTCTCTCTCTCTCTCTCTCTCTCTCTCTCTCTCTCTCTCTCTCTCTCTCTCTCTCTCTCTCTCTCTCTCTCTCTCTCTCTCTCTCTCTCTCTCTCTCTCTCTCTCTCTCTCTCTCTCTCTCTCTCTCTCTCTCTCTCTCTCTCTCTCTCTCTCTCTCTCTCTCTCTCTCTCTCTCTCTCTCTCTCTCTCTCTCTCTCTCTCTCTCTCTCTCTCTCTCTCTCTCTCTCTCTCTCTCTCTCTCTCTCTCTCTCTCTCTCTCTCTCTCTCTCTCTCTCTCTCTCTCTCTCTCTCTCTCTCTCTCTCTCTCTCTCTCTCTCTCTCTCTCTCTCTCTCTCTCTCTCTCTCTCTCTCTCTCTCTCTCTCTCTCTCTCTCTCTCTCTCTCTCTCTCTCTCTCTCTCTCTCTCTCTCTCTCTCTCTCTCTCTCTCTCTCTCTCTCTCTCTCTCTCTCTCTCTCTCTCTCTCTCTCTCTCTCTCTCTCTCTCTCTCTCTCTCTCTCTCTCTCTCTCTCTCTCTCTCTCTCTCTCTCTCTCTCTCTCTCTCTCTCTCTCTCTCTCTCTCTCTCTCTCTCTCTCTCTCTCTCTCTCTCTCTCTCTCTCTCTCTCTCTCTCTCTCTCTCTCTCTCTCTCTCTCTCTCTCTCTCTCTCTCTCTCTCTCTCTCTCTCTCTCTCTCTCTCTCTCTCTCTCTCTCTCTCTCTCTCTCTCTCTCTCTCTCTCTCTCTCTCTCTCTCTCTCTCTCTCTCTCTCTCTCTCTCTCTCTCTCTCTCTCTCTCTCTCTCTCTCTCTCTCTCTCTCTCTCTCTCTCTCTCTCTCTCTCTCTCTCTCTCTCTCTCTCTCTCTCTCTCTCTCTCTCTCTCTCTCTCTCTCTCTCTCTCTCTCTCTCTCTCTCTCTCTCTCTCTCTCTCTCTCTCTCTCTCTCTCTCTCTCTCTCTCTCTCTCTCTCTCTCTCTCTCTCTCTCTCTCTCTCTCTCTCTCTCTCTCTCTCTCTCTCTCTCTCTCTCTCTCTCTCTCTCTCTCTCTCTCTCTCTCTCTCTCTCTCTCTCTCTCTCTCTCTCTCTCTCTCTCTCTCTCTCTCTCTCTCTCTCTCTCTCTCTCTCTCTCTCTCTCTCTCTCTCTCTCTCTCTCTCTCTCTCTCTCTCTCTCTCTCTCTCTCTCTCTCTCTCTCTCTCTCTCTCTCTCTCTCTCTCTCTCTCTCTCTCTCTCTCTCTCTCTCTCTCTCTCTCTCTCTCTCTCTCTCTCTCTCTCTCTCTCTCTCTCTCTCTCTCTCTCTCTCTCTCTCTCTCTCTCTCTCTCTCTCTCTCTCTCTCTCTCTCTCTCTCTCTCTCTCTCTCTCTCTCTCTCTCTCTCTCTCTCTCTCTCTCTCTCTCTCTCTCTCTCTCTCTCTCTCTCTCTCTCTCTCTCTCTCTCTCTCTCTCTCTCTCTCTCTCTCTCTCTCTCTCTCTCTCTCTCTCTCTCTCTCTCTCTCTCTCTCTCTCTCTCTCTCTCTCTCTCTCTCTCTCTCTCTCTCTCTCTCTCTCTCTCTCTCTCTCTCTCTCTCTCTCTCTCTCTCTCTCTCTCTCTCTCTCTCTCTCTCTCTCTCTCTCTCTCTCTCTCTCTCTCTCTCTCTCTCTCTCTCTCTCTCTCTCTCTCTCTCTCTCTCTCTCTCTCTCTCTCTCTCTCTCTCTCTCTCTCTCTCTCTCTCTCTCTCTCTCTCTCTCTCTCTCTCTCTCTCTCTCTCTCTCTCTCTCTCTCTCTCTCTCTCTCTCTCTCTCTCTCTCTCTCTCTCTCTCTCTCTCTCTCTCTCTCTCTCTCTCTCTCTCTCTCTCTCTCTCTCTCTCTCTCTCTCTCTCTCTCTCTCTCTCTCTCTCTCTCTCTCTCTCTCTCTCTCTCTCTCTCTCTCTCTCTCTCTATATTTTAATGCAGGTATTAATCATTGGATAAATTATAATACTTTGTGAAAGTAATTATGGAGTACTTCACAATGCTTGGAAGTTTGCTTAAGTGGTTCAGAAGTTACTACATCTTGAAGATAAGAAATGCAACCATTGACTCCTTATGTTTTACCTTTTCTAAACTATGACATAGTAAACTAGTCTAGTGTATTTTGCACATCTGTGAAGTTCACTCTTCATAGACAGTTTTCTGTTACATTTTTGTTCTGTCAAGATATTTATTGAAATTAATTAATTAATACTAATAAGTCTGTGTTTGGATAATGTTTACCATTAAATGTTTTTTTATGTAAATTCTCTGATTTTGACATTGCAGCTAATGATCTGATGCAGTTCTCTTTTAAGTTATTTGCTATCTTTCAATATTCTTGATGAGGTACTGGAATGAAACTTTAGCTCCTGTAATATACTGTAAAATAAAACTTGTTAAACATTTTTAATAAGTTGTTTTGTAACCCAAGTATTAATCAGATTGAAGATTTATTTTTTTTCATCACTAAAATTGTTCCAACTTCTAGATAAGGTATACACATTGCTAAAATAATTGTGTTCTCCAATGGAAATCTGGGCAATAAATTAAAGAAAACAAATGAAATGTATATATAAAACAACAGAAGTAACTATGAATGCAGAAAACAGAGACCCTTCATACTTCATGCTTTTTTGAAGTATGGGACTTTAAATTTCCAGGGTAATTAGATGTACTGTTAGGATATAAACACCACTATAAAGACTGCCAGCATTACTTTGTTTTGTTGAACTTTTAAATAGTGACTGTATTGCCTAATACTTGAACATGAAATTTATAAATGCAGCTCACATTTTTAGTGTTAAATTTATCTACCTATAACAGCAAATAAAGCAGATAAGGATATAGCAAAACCCTCAATGAAAAGTGAAGTTGTAAATATTTCTGTACATGTAATTTTGATATTTTGGAAAAAAAATCTAGATAAGTATCTCGTATATCATTCAAAGTACTTTTAACAAATCATATCTTATGTATTACATACCCTCCCTCCCTCCCTCCCTCCCTCTCCCTCTCCCTCTCCCTCTCCCTCCCTCTCTCTCTCTCTCTCTCTCTCTCTCTCTCTCCATATATGTACAGCGATGGGCATTAATACACAGAATTGTCTAACGTGATACCAATTCATCAGGACTTGAAAATTGTCTAAAGCAATTCTGATATATCATCAATGCTTTGCAAAAGTTAAAGCAATATCGATGTCAAAACGTTTTTCAGTGTATCATGCGTTATTTCGATGCTTTCTACACCACAGTAACAACAATTACACTTGCAACTGACAGGTACGTTCATGGCACTTAATGCATTAATCTAGAGAATAAAACTGCCATTCCTTTATGACCAGAAAAGAGTAGATAGTCTTTTACACTTCAGTGCCATAGAATGAGCGAGCAAGAGGGAGAAAAAACACAAACACACACACATACAAACAGATAGTGTTATGAAAATTTATCTATCCCGCGCCCCTAGGGGGAACCAAAATGAAGATTAAGGTTGACCTAATCTGACCCAGTAGAACGCCTCTCGTCGTCAAGACCAAGGTCTATATAAGCTTATACTTATATAGGATCCTGCCTCCCCCCAACCACCCCATTATCGGTTACGCCACCGTTCAAGCGCCGTCCCGGTCTTCCGTATTGTGTTGTTTATTTGTGTGTTGTGCTCTTTACCAATGAAGAGTCAAGCCGTACTTATAACTACAATCACTGTTCATCCAGTTCCAAGTAATAGGTTCTCTCTAAAAAAGCCTCTGACAAACTGAAAATATATACTGATACAAAGGACAACACAGTGTCCTTTACAGACGGAGCTGAACAGCTTTAGTAAACTTGAGAGAGAGAGAGAGAGAGAGAGAGAGAGAGAGAGAGAGAGAGAGTGAGAGTGAGAGTGAGAGTGAGAGTGAGAGTGAGAGTGAGAGGGAGAGGGAGGGAGGGAGAAAGGGAGGGTGGAAAAAAGAATGAAGGGGGACTGAGTGAAATAGTATGCATATGTATGAAGAAGAAGTAGAGACCCTCTATGATGTTCATTTAGCCAGCGACAGAGCAAAAACTCATTTCACAATAATTATAGGAGATTTTAATGCCAAAATAGATAAAAAGACATTTTAATGCCAAAATAGGTGAAAAGACATAAGATTTTTAATGCAAAATGGGCAGGAAGACAGATTTTAATGCCAAAATAGGTTAACTAACAGAATATTTCAATGGTAAAATAGGCAAGAAGACAGATTCTTAATGCCAAAATAGGTAAGACAGAAGATTTTGATACCAAAAAGATTAAGAAAACAAATTATTTTAAAGCCAAACTTGGGAGGAAGAAGGAAGATCTTAATGCCAAACTAGGTTATATGACAGATTTTAATGGCAAAATAGGGAGGAAGACAGAAAATTTTAATGCCAAAATAGATACGAAGACAAGATTTTTAATACCAAAATAGATAAGAAGACAGAAGATTTTAATGCGAAAATAGGTGAGAAGACAGAAAGAGGAACCCCTGTGGGTAATCACGGAACAGGCACTAGGAATGAGAGGGGACAATTGCTAATCGAGTTTGCCGAGCCTCGATCTCTCAGTATCATCAATACATTCTTCGAAAAAACAGAGCGGAATTGGACATGGAGGTTGCTATCTGACATAAAAAAGAAACTGACTTCATAATTTTAAATATGGCGCCTTATACCATAACAATATCAAATATTCATAAAGTAAATGTTGATAGCGGCCATGGAATGGTCAGAGGCCAAATTAAATTACACCTCAGAAGAAAAAGGAAACTCACGAGAACCGTAGCCAAATTTAGCTAACTTGAAAACTAGGGCAACAGAATTTAGCCTTAACATCCAAATCAGTTCTCCTCTCAGTGACGAAGATCTTAACATTGGCCAAATAAATAAACAGTTCAATGACAGAATAAAGGAAGCTGCACTTGATATATATATATATATATATATATATATATATATATATATATATATATATATATATATATATATATGTATATATATATATATTATACATATATATGTATATATATATTATATATATTAACTACGTATTTAAGTATAAATATTTGCAAGATCAATTCTATATATGAAGTTGTGGAACATAAGTTATTTTACAAATTATAGCTGCATAATTTTTTTTCCAAAGAAACAAAAGAACAGTTACATAAGTATTGTTTAGGATTAAGAAACCCAGTGCTCTGGAATGTAGAAACTGAAGTACAGCTTTTTGCATTACTGATATATGGAGATGACGTGTGCTATAGTTTGTCACTCCCATTTATTTGCAATCTCAGCAAAGACAAATCCAAAAAATATATGAACACATAACACCATCATTAACAATTATATGCAAAATTTTAGTGTTTTACAACTGTATTTAACCAAATCGCACACCTTACATACAATGATGCCATTACAAGTGCTGTATCAAAAAATCTATTGTTTGTAGGTATTCTTGGTCATTAAAGAATTTCAGTATATTTTGTACTTTGCAACAACAGCCATCTTTTAGAATGAGGATCCCCTCTCCACACCAGTTCTGAATTCCCTTATTCTATTTTTACTATATATATATCACATTTCTGTAACTGTTGTACTAATGGTATTAATTGTTATGAATCTGTTTTAAACAAAGGTCAATTATTTTTGTGCTCTAAGCTTTGTCATAACTTTATCTGTGTATAATACAAAAAGATAGCACATATACCTTGGCTTTCTGACATTATTTACCTGTCTAACACTTCCCTATCAACCAGGCAAAGTTACTAAAATTGCAGCAGAGGAAGTGAATTTGACCACAGAGCCCAGACTTTGGACTAAGTTCACAAAAATATTACTAATGTAATTTTACATACAGTTTTGGTATTAAAATCAATTGATATTAAAATCAATACTGAAATCTGGGGTCTAGTGTCACATTTGAATTATTTACCATGATGGTAAAATTGCAACTAGGGAACATTTTATAACATGCTTGTAGAAGCTGAATTATCATATCCTATAATTCATTTATGCAATCACTCACAATTTCTGCTACATTGTAAATAAATCTTAGCATTGAAGCCATGGATCTTCCACTGTAGTATGCTTAGATTGTGTGTCATGATGTTACTTGGTGTTAGTTACATCTGAGACGTCTTCGTATTCAGATTCAGAATCTGATGTATCGGAGTCTGACAACTCCATTGTGTCCTCGCTGATTGAGGGATCTTCATCTCTTTTTGTGCTATTTATCAGGCTATCCGTGGGTCCACCCGGAGGTGGAGAGCCTTTGGTAGCTCTGACTTTTGTTAGCTTGGCTTTGTCTGTGTCTTTTTTCTTTGGTGGCTTTACCTGAGTAAGGTCAGCCTGTTCTGGCACTGACTGCACAGATTCAGCCTGGTTTGGCTCTGCCTGTGAGGGCATGGCCTCTTGGGTTGGAGTAGGGAGGGGAGTCTCAACATGGGGTGAGGGTGGAGCTGGTTTGGCTCTGTCCAGCTTTCTCTCTTTCAGGACTGCAACAGGCTGGGCCATTGCCGTCATTGCGACCGCAACTGCCCTCTACACCTCCTCACTAGACAGAAGTGAACAACAGTCAGCAGGAGAGTCATATCTTCCTCATCAAAGAGATTATCGTCTCTTGGAGAGGCTTTTACAGTGTTCTTTGAACCTTTATTCCTATGGTTCTTTTTTTGCACATTTGCAATGGTCGGAAGCTCCTTTATATTGGATATATCCGGTTTCGGCTGGGGAGGAGCTTTCATTCTCTTAGGAGGTTGAGGAGCATTTAATGTCCCCAGACATTTGTGCCCGCGGGAGCAGGAACAAAGTCTTTAGCAACCTGAGGGCCACCTCCTTCCTGACAGAGCAAGCCAGGCTCCAGGCATGATGCCTCTTGGCACAGTTGGGACATTTAGCTGTTGTGCCCCTTTGTCCTTCCTTGTTTGCATTAAGGCACACCTCGGTGTTGGGTACTTGCTACAGTCACCACATTTGGGCTTGGCCTTGCAACTAGCCTGGTAGCGACCATATTTTTGACACTTGAAGTACCGAAGTGGCTAAGGCACATTTATTCTGAGGTTGGGACTCCTTTCAGGGTCACTAGGTCTTGCCTGGTTGGAGTCTTCCCTTTAGACATTTGGGAAGCCCCCACGACCTGTGGGTGTGATGTGATCAGATCTGGTGAGGGATACACTTTCCTCCAATCTTTAAGCTTCATCTTTAGGCACAATGATCATGCCCCGGTCTCTGGCAACCCAGATTGACAACTGGATTTTTCTCTGCATCTCCACTGCTCTCACCCGTTGATAGGCATTGTCAAAGCCTTCAGGTTTAGAAAGAAACTAGGAAGCGCCTAGGGGGTCCAGACTCACAGAGTCTGTCTCCGGCCTTGGTCGTTTTGGACTGCCCTCTCGGCTTGGATTCTGGGCTCTGTTCGTGGGAGCAGCTGGTTCAGCTGGTGCTCCCACCTCGGATAAGGAGGGGAACTCAGAGGTCTCCCTGACTTGGATGCCGGCCTGGAGAGCCAAGCACGAGAGTCCATCTGCTGGACAAATTCATGGACAGATGTGTTTTTGGGTGATGGGTTCTCTGTCTTACCCATTATAGCAGAAGGTCAGCCTGTGCATTGCATTCTCTTGCCACTAGAGGCCATGTATGGCTTCAAAGTGACTGCCATGGTCTGGGCCTTGCATGGTTCGTCAACGTTTTTAAGTGTGTGAGGATCTGGAGTTTCGTTTGTCTTGAAATTTAGCAGATATTTCATCCTCTCACGCCCCTATTCAACAAGGGGAAGCTATATATTAGAACTAATGTCTAACAGCTACAGGGGACCTGTGTGAAGACCAATGGCGCCATGACTGCTTGACCCTAGCCTTCCAAAGGAAACCAGCCGATTGACCTGACCAGGCCAGGATCAGGCCACCTGTCTTCCTGGAATAAGGGACCCTGCTAGCCGCAGGGCGTACTCATGCACGGAATTACTCAACCTCCAGGACTCACGTCTCCACAGCGCACAAAGGTGCCACGCACGACAAACACGTGGATAGGTAAGAAACCAGAGGGAATGCCATTCCACCAACAAGATAGGCATCATTATTTGGAACCATTTGTTCATCCCTCTCCAGTGAACCAGTCACCCAAAGGCTGGATCACCTTAGAGAGGGAGCTCAGGTCCTGCACCTCTAAGAGGCGGTTCCAGTGGCAGGATTTCTCCACACGGAAAAAAGAGCCGCTAGGGTATATGCACTGGAAATGGGAAGTGAAGGAATCCCCTACCTGCACTTCAGAAAGATGATTCTAAATAGGTTTTCTGAACGACAAAAACGCTGGAACCACATCCTTCAAGACGCTGAGAGATGTGGAGATCTTGCAATGGACGCTCTATATCACAATATAGCCGGAAGAGCTGTAGCTAAATGCCGGATCAAAGGAATGGAAGAATGGAACCATTACCGTCTGAGATCCATCGATGCCGCGGACTTGATGAAGGAGATTGGAATTTGCATGGAAGACAATCATCTCCTCGACCAACAGTTTCAGGCTAAGCTGTGCCTCAAGAAAGCAGAGCCAACCATGAAGACAAGGGTAGCTTCTGTGAGAACAGATAGCCAATCTATTAAGTTTAAAGGAGGAAATAAGTTCCATTGTCCAGTACATGGCTGAAACAAGACACATGGAAGGGAGGACTACTACAAGTTGAAGGTGGCCACAGCTTCTTCAGCGTCAACGACAAAGAAGCCACAGAAGAGAGAGAAAAAGCCCAATCCATCTAGTGCTCCATCATTGATAAGATGCTTCCTGTGTCAAAAGATGGGACATCAGCAAGCCATGTGCCCCCTAGACGTTGAGAAACTGGTGGCTGCAAAAAACGGAACAAAAACGTCCACAATGAACGGTCATATGAATGAGTAGTTAAAGGAAGACACCAGGAGCTGGAGGAAACAGTTAACTACCGCATTCCGATGCTGGGTCCACCACCTTCAGAATATATGATGACTGAAGTTTTTGTATAACAAAATGGCAGCAGTTTTGTTGATGTGTAGGACTGTGGTGCAAAATCCAATTTAGTCAAAATATTATACAAGGCACATGAAGAAGTGAAGAAGAAAGACGAGACAGCGAGATGAGTAAATGGTTTTCAACACTTGACTTGCATGGTGGGTACCATCAGATGCCTCTGGATGAGGACTCAATACCGAAGTCAGCTTTTACCACCCCTGAAGGACATTTTGAGTAGAAAGTGATGCCATTTGGTCTGTCTAATGCACCTCGAATGTTCCATTGTGTGTGCGCGTGTATGTCTTTGCATGTATGTATGTATGTATGTATGTATGTATGTATGTATGTATGTATGTATGTATGTATGTTTGTATGTATGTATATATGCATGTATGTATGTATACATGTGTGTATATATGTATACATGTGTGTATATATGTATGTATGTATGTATGTATGTGTGTGTGTATCTATGTATGTATGTAGGTATGTTTGTTGGTATGTATATATATATATATATATATATATATATATATATATATATATATATATATATATATATACATATATATGTATATATATATAATATATATATATATATATATATATATATATATATATATAGATATATGTTTATATGTATATATAATGTATGTGTGTATACATAGATTATATATATATATAATGTATGTGTATATATATATATATATATATATATATATATATATATATATATATATATATATATATATATATATATATATATATATATATATATATATATATATATATATATATGCAAGCATGTATATGGAAGCGTGCAAATACTTGCGTGTGTTCGGCGGCGCGTGGGCGGTCTTCGCTCCCCGCCGTGACTCGCCTTCGCCTGCAACTCAAAACATACACAAGGTCTACATAGGCTTTGAACACACACATCCTCTTGTCGCCCACGAAGTAAGAGCTGAAATGGACCTGTTTTTCGGCGAAGTGAAGCAAGTCCCTTCCCGAGCCTTTGACGACGACGAGGAGGACTTGGAGGCGCCGCACATCGAGTAAGACCTGAATGATTCGTGTGAAATACAAGCCGCTGAATGAAATACTTGCACAATACTTGATTCCTATATTATGCTCCAGCAATTTATTATTTAATTATAGCAACTCCTGACTAATTGCCATTGGTGATGCTAGCAAAGAATAGCCCACTGGTAAAGAGAGGGCAAGAAGGCTATTGTAACTACATAGAATTGATGATATTCTAATCCAAAGATACTTTTAATCGGTGACAGATCAATTGCATAGTGCAGGTAAATCCAGTGTTTAAAATTCTAAAGAATAATCATTATGATGAATACTATGATGTTTCAACCAGCAATTAAAGTGTCTGTTATTTTACTCCTAAGCTCTTTGCACCAATATACTTCAGGCAGTCAAAGCCATCTCCATTGATGCAAATGACATGTAGATTTTTTGTTTGGTAGTTTTTTACGACTTGCATAATCGACTTCAATGATCATCGATGGATTCCTCTCACTCTCTTGTATATGGATATGTCGGTATTATGGAGTGGAGACCTCCCCTAAACCCCTATAGTTTTGGCTCCAATAGCAGAGGAGGTCATGAGAAGTACCAGAGAAATTTTGGGATAAACTAACAATAATAAAATAACCATTATGAAGAATAATGCCTCACAATACTACTGAATTCAGGGAGCAACCCCTTCCCAAGGGAGGCTTATGCCCCCCAACCCCTGCCCCCCAACCCCTGCCCCGATCCCAGCTCAAGAAAACAAAGAATTCTTCACGTGCTCATGGCAGGATGAAGTGTCGGTCAGAATTGACATCGAGTACTCCTCCTGTTTGTTGTATGCTCTACCCAGCTTTGAATACCATGGAGGATTCTTTGTCTTCCATTGTGGGGATTGGGAGGCAGTAGCTTGCAGGAGGAGGTTGTAAGGTCACACCCCCCACATTAGTGACTGATTCTGTGTAAATTATTCATATTTTACCCTTCAATTCCCCTGGTTCCTCTCATACCCTCACTTGCTATTGGAACCAAGATTGTTGCAAATGGGGAGGATTCTGCAGCATAATTTTGATATATATGGATAGTAGAGAGTGGGAGGAATTCATCTTATTATACATACTATATTTATTTTGTAAGTACTCTGATGCATATGAATTTATCTGCAACTTATGAACGTAAAAACGACCCTTAGTAACCAAAATAAAGTGCATTGAAATTACTTGCCAACCATCCTTTGTGATTGTGTGCAGCTATTATTGTCCACAAATCCTGTTATAACATCATCTCTTTCTGCTGGCTTGGCTGCAGAGTTGGCAAGAAGGATGAGATGATTAATGAAAATTGGAGTTCTGAAACGGTAAAAACATCACGTCTAACTAGTCCAATTTGTTGGATGAGGAGTTACAAAATTACAAATAAAGAATTATATATTTACCAAGCAGTTTATTGGAATCAGACCAAACCCTTAACCTTACTGTGATTTACATGGTAGATGTACCTTGACCTTATCTGGAATGCTGAAGATGCTGAGATCATAGTCATTGTTTGATACCCACTGCTGGAGTTATTATTTATGATATCAAGTAACTTCTTTATAACTGAAAAGTTTGTTATGGTTGTTATAGAAAAAGGCAAGATAAGAAAATGTTCTTTGTATGTCACTGAGGCTTGGACAGTAAACAGTAAATGGAACTGTTACATTTGGCATATATGCTGCCAGTACACTTAAATTAAATAAGGCAAGCTCTGTCTTGGTAGAAGCATGTTTGTTACCATTTACCCCTTAATCTCTTGAGGCGGCTCTGATAGCTGTGCACATAGCATATGATGCAAGTGAGTAAGTTCATGATTTTTAGTGATGCATCTTGATCCATAAGAATAATTAATCTTTCTTATTTCAGGTATGAGATAAACACAGTCTTGAAAAAGGGGATGGAAGATCCTATCCTGAAATGCTCCACAGTGATAATTGCATGTGGGAATTTAGCAACAGGTAAAGTTCTTGAACCTGAACCTTCACTAAGGTTATTGTAGTTATTTTTCCACGATATGCATATATAATATATTTGGATGTTTTCATATGTTATATTCTTCTAAAGGTGTATTTATTGCTAAAGGTGTTTGTACATAGGTTAACTCATGTTCGCAGTTGGCCTTAACCCAGTGCCGCCAGGAAAATGCTGTGTTCATTTTTTATCTTTTTGTGAAATGTCTCTGGACATAAATGGCTCTGCTGGTGCTTAGCCACAAAGGAGTCAATTAGTAGATCTTGTGGCCTTACCTGATTTTACATTTCCTTGAATTGGTGGGAAAATATTTTTTTACTGATGCTATGAATATCAATGGTGTTATTTTTATTATAGACATTATAATTACTATAATGTTATAGACATTAGTAACAGCAAAATAAGATAACAAAATTTTTTTTTGAAAATCAAGAAAAAGGGTAAACAGGCAAGACAAGCAGTACTCCTAATTGGCTCATTGGTGACTTAGTGCAAGTGTAGCCATCTATGTGTAAAAACAATTAATAAAGTAAACTCAAAACAGGCATGGCATGTACATACATGTCATGCCTGTTAGATCTGGGTTAAGTATAATGCATTGGGGAAGCTGGGCCTAAATTGCAGATGTCACTGCATAATGACATAGCCAACACCATTGGCTCATCATATTTAGCTCGTCTTTCTTCAGATAGGAATAATATAATTTGTTTGTTGTAACTATTAGATGCAAACACTTAAAGTAAAGAGAAACATTCAATATTTCAAAACTCTTGATTATGAAAGAGCTAAAATTGTGCATGAATTACTGATTGAGCTGGGTTTGAATGGGGGAACTACTGCATTAGTGGCTTCTAGCCAATTCTTAATAATGTGGCGATTGGGTTAAGACCCCTACCTGATAGAAATTTGAGCAAACTTTGGGATTTTTTACCCTTTAACCCAGTGCTGACAGGTATGACGTGTATGTATGTGCTATGCCCACTGTGAGTTACTTGTTTGATTGTTTTTACACATAGATGGCTACACTTGTACTAAATCATCAATGAGCCACTTACGAGTACTGCCTGTCTCGCCTGTTTACCCTTTTCTTTGATTTACAAAATATTTTATGTTATCTTATTTTGCTGTTACTAATGTTAAAAAAATTATAATAATTATAATATTTATAATAAAAATAACACCATCGATATTCATAGCACTAGTGAAAATTACGTTTTTCCCTCCATTTCAAATCAAGCACTAGCAAAGCCATCTATGGGCAGACATTTCACAAAAAATATAGAAAATAGGCACAGCATTTTCTCCATTTTTTGTTCATTTTCCCCGGCAGCATTGGGTTAACTATACCATTTCTTATGAAAGACATTCCCCATGAATGTCCTGAGTGTAAGTAAGGGAACAGTTGGTGAAAGATTCTGTGACCAGCAAACATTTGAAATGAAAATAATGAAGAAAATATTTTTTTGTGATTTTCTCAGAATCATAGATGTGGGCATTTTTCTTGCATCCTTTTAGAAGCAACAGGATGATTTAGATTGTTAGAATCAGGAAAATAGAAATATATATCTATATCTATATCTATCTATATCTATATCTATATCTATATCTATATCTATATCTATATCTATATCTATATCTATCTATCTATCTATCTATATATATATATATATATATATATATATATATATATATATATATATATATATATATATATATATATATATATATATATATATATATATATATATATATATATATATATATATATATATATATATATATATATATATATATATATATATATGTAATGTCAATTTTTGTATTTCAAGCTTCAACATTTTTGCCAAAAAATGCACATAAAAATGTTCTCAGAGCACTCTTTTCAAGGATTGTGTGAAGATTTCATTTTTACTGAAGATTCCAATTGATCAGTTGAAAATCCTGGGAATTTTCTCAGCAGAGAAAAGAGTAAAAGCAAAGATTTCTGGCCCAAAACATAAAGATAAAAAAAGGGAAATCCAGACAATCCCGTTAATGCAGAATTCATGGAGATAAAGTTAATTAACTGTAGAAGATTTATTATTGTTGATCTTCCAATGCTGTAAATAGTATTTTCAGAGCTTCATACGCACACACAGGATTTTTTCCTTTTTTTTTTATTTTTTATTTATAATTATTTAGATCTCTTCTAATTTAGATATACATAATATGGAGAATTTAGAAGAAAAAAAGATGCATGACTTTTGCCATATTTTTGCCATTGTGTTTATAATGAAATAAAGAATAATTACAGATTTCTGTGAAACCATGTTCTGGTCTGAGAAATGTTCCGAAGCTGGTGTGATTGAAGTGAAGCAAAAAAGAGAGATCAGCATTGAAGACACAGGTGACTTTCGTCCACGTCAGCCTCAGCCTTCAAAACTTTTTATCACCCCTCACTCTGTGCTGGTGTGTTGTACAAGTAGAGATGTGACGCCTGTCATAGCTACGCAGTTTGTACAAAAGGTATGTGAGCAAAGTGTGTCATGTGAAACGAAAGTTGTCAATTATCTTGTTTATTTCATTCAATAGTAACTTTGATGGCCAATGTTTATACAAGCATAGATAAACATTAAAATGTTGTATGTATGTCCAGTCTGTAATCAGTTCTTATAACTGTGTTATTCATATAGATAAAAATATCACAGTGATAACAGTGTCCAAAGGTATGAAGCTCTCTTTGTAATAAAAGCATAAAAAGATTAGTATATTAACTTTTTGTATGCAAGCATACCTGAATCAGATAGTTATTGTATATCATAATTTTTGCAAGTCAGATTAGAACGGATATTCACTATGAACAGGGTTAGAGAGTTCGACAAAGTTATTACAACAAGAATTTAACTAGACACTAGTTATAAGGCTCTAATTGGATTCAAACCTTTTTCATACAATAATGCCCCTGTCAGCTTCATGGTGGCAAGCCAAGTTTTCTGTAGTTTGATTCCATCAGTGCGCTTTGTGGCAGAGCAGCTGTGGTGGAATTTTGGCTGTAGTCTTTAAGAACTGCAAAACCTCCAGCTTGTCTGTCCCCTCAGCTGCAAAGAAAGCTTGATTTTTCAAGCTTCACTAGAATAAATTTGGATTGCAGAAAATTAAATGGCTCAGTATTATGCACCAGAAAATGTATATGTCATTGCCATATCTCAAATATGAGTGTCGATAGAAAGAAAATTAATATTTATTAATTATGCATCATGTAGGAATTTAGATGGCAGATAGAAAATTATATTTTATCATTGAAATACATATTTACATGTATTTATCAGTATGTAGACATTTGAAAATAAAAAGATAATATATTAGGAGGTAAGACTTATAGTAGTGGTTCCCAACTTTTTTTTCAGGCAACCCTGATTATGCACTACTAGACATGACTGCAGTTCCAGTTTGTTCTACATTGTATATGCTTGTATTATATTATTATAATATATTAGTATCTCTATATTTATCAGTAAATGTATACATAATTTGATAAAAAAATCCACAATTACGATTATATTTGCTTTAGTAAGTTTTGTCAGAATTCAATGGATTTTTTTATCTGTATATGGGAAGCAGAGACACATCTGACACAGTATTAGCAGTTAGGATTACTGAATTTTAAATTATTGTGTAATAATCAAGCAAAATTTAGCCATTAGCCCTCAACCAATATGTGACTACGTATGTGCTGAAAACATCATAAAATTGAAAATTAACCACATCTGATATTTGTAGGTCTTAGCAACTCCAGGAAAATCACTTGGTGAGCCCACTTGGGTTTGCTACTCCAGGTTTGGTAAAGGCTGACTTAGGGTCGGTTCACACACATCAGTGGCATATCAGTGTGATGTCAGTTCAGTGTCAGTGAAATCTGTGAAGCTTCAGTGATGTCCATTCACACATACTTGTAGTGACTGTAAAGTGTGAAATCAGTGATTTCCAAAATGGGAGAGTTTTCAAGTGTGGTATTGGCAATGGTTGTCATAATTCTTGCTGAAGAGTTACTTCAAAGTAATAATATTTAATTTCACTGACAATGATAGACTGTGCAGATACAGCACTGATATGTCAGTGATATGTGTGAATGAGCCCATGTAATATATTGTTTCAAGGGGGAATATAGGATGAGGAAAAGATCTAGGGTTTAGCTGGAAGAAATATGCCATACACCAGCAGAATTACTACCTCACACTCCCTCCTCTTCATTTACATGAAGATGGAGACAGGAACAAATGACAGTGTCATTGGCTCAGACAGAGGAGGGAATATAATGAGAGTGAGGATGTGATATTGTGGGTATGGTTGATGGACACTTGCCAAACAGTACCAGATATATATTAGAGGGTTGTATGAATACCTTATTCATAATAAAAAAGTTGCCAAAAAATCCAGGTATGCTAAAACTGTGGCAAACAGAACTGTGCACACATACAGTGAATAACAATGATAGAGGTGAATATTGGTTTAGAATGATCAGTGATCTAGAAAAAAACTATCAATGAAATTTTCAGATAAATAATCATGTTTCCCAATCACTTTTCAGCATTATATGATTTAGTGCCTCCTTGAGCATTATCTCATTGGCTACTAGCTCTTAAAGTTCCCTATAATTGTGTTCATTTCAGTTATTCAGTGTGATAGGGACCTCCATATGTGTAATGATACTATCAAGTCATCATTATGGAGCTCTGCATGGTAACTATGCGCCAGAAGGAGAGGACAACTGTGTGGTCCACTCCCTATGTTCCCCAGCTTTTCCTGGCACTCCTGTTTATCCTTCACTTCCACAGCCAGCAACGCTGGACTCAGTACCTGCAGCAGGTAATTTAATTATTCATGTATTCATATATACACATACATATATGTATATGAATATATATGTATATATGTGTGTATATATACACATAAATATGTATGTGTATACATAAGTATATGTATATGTATTGTATCTATATACATAAACATGTACATGTACATATATATAAAAATATATCTATATCTATACATGTATACTTATTCATATACATATACACTTATGAATGTGTACACACGCACATACACATATACATTTACATATACACATACACATACCCATACCCATACACATACACATACACATACACATACACATGCACATACACATACACACATACACATACACATACACATACACATACACATTTACATATACACATACACATACCCATACACATACACATATACATATACACATACACATACACATACACATACACATACACATACATATGCACACACACACACATATGCATACACACACACATATATATATACACACACACATATACTTACACATGTATACATACACGTATACACATACACGCATACACATACACACGTACCCATACACGCGTACACATACACGCGTACCCATACACGCGTACCCATACACGCGTACCCATAGACGCGTATCCATACACGCGTACCCATATACATACACATACACATGCACACACACACACACACACACACACACACACACACACACACACACACACACACACACACACACACACACACACACACACACACACACACACATATTCATACACACACACACACACACACACACACACACACACATATTCATACACACACACACATATATATACACACACACATATATATACACGCACATATACATACATGCGTGTCCATACATACACACGCATACATACACGTGTATCCATACATACACACGCATACATACACATACACATACACATATACATATACACATATACATATACACATATACACATACATACATATACACATACATACATACATACATACATACATTCATATTATACATGTATACATATTATACATGTATACATATATACATATATACATATATACATATTTACATATATACATATATACATGTATACATATATACATATATATAAATATATATAAATACACACACACACACACACACACACACACACACACACACACACACACACACACACACACACACACACACACACACACACACACACACACACACACACATACACACAGATATATATATACACATATATGTATGTATAGTCATACATAGGACAAACATGTGAACAAACCCAGAGATGCCACTTCTGCTGTGCACCTAAAAAGGGGGTTCTAGGTATTAATGTAGGTAACACCACATACCTTCCCCCAGCGGCATTCGATTAATGAATTGTTATTTTGTAGGAAAATTTTTGTAGGCAGATCATAGTGAAATGAAAAAAAATGCAATATTATTATTATTATTATTTTTTTGATAGTTATTATCAGTGTCATTTTATTTTGATGTATTTATTATTTTTATTTTTTATTTTACCTCATTAGTGCTAGGCAATTGCAATGTTAATGGAAGTTTTGTTTTTGTATATTATGTTTTCACATAGATGGCATCACAAGGACATTTTTCTGTTTTTGCTGTTATTATTATTATTATTATTAGTAGTAGTAGTAGTAGTATTCACATTGCAATTACTATAATGTTATCATCAATGCTGATACAAATGTTGCCAGAAAATGTCAAAATCTGTCAACATGTTGCCAGAAAATGTCAAAATCTGTCAACATGCAATCATCCAAAAATTTGCTGTTATATATATTTTGCATAAAATATTTAGAACTGCTTGATTGAGTCTGGCATTCAAATTCTCAACTTTCATTTTCTGTAGAGCAGTGTTGTGCTCAACAGCTGGTCCCAGGGTATTTATAAAGTGTGCCTCATGAGCTATTTCAACCTTGTGTTCTCCAGACACTCCAGAAACTACAAAGTGCAGGACCCACTGCAGTCCATGACCTATCATGCCATGCAGAGTATATATTGTACCTGTTTCTTTTGTGCAGACATTTCACATGCACTGCTACTCTTACTGTAGCTTTGATAATGGTTGATAGTGTTATTTACATCTCAAAAAGCTTTATTGCTTTGAAAACTTGAGTATATTCAGCCTTGCCAAACATTATCACCTTGTAAACAATACCCAACTCTTCAGGCTATAGGACCAGGAGCAGCCAGAGATGTTTAGTTATTCACACTGATTCCATTCACAGAAGTAGTATTGTTACACAGTTTGTGTTGGGCATTAGTGAACACAAGATTAACTTAATGCTGCCAGGGAAAA